CTTTCCAGACTGTAACTTTTAATAAATAAATAATTATTTTTCTCTATATTTGATTTATCCAAACATAGAAATATTCTTTAAATGACACATTTTTATTTATTAATGATAAATTGTCATTGATTCGCCAACTTTCTTTTCACAGGGAGACTCTGGGGGTCCAATGGTGTGTGAAGTGTCAGGACGTATGTTTCTCTTTGGGGTGGTGAGCTGGGGTGACGGATGTGCTAGTGAGAACAAGCCAGGTGTTTACGCAAAGGTGACCCACTACAACAACTGGATCGCAGACAAAACCGGGCTTTCTGAATACACAAAAGGATTGATGTATCCTCAAAAATGAAACTCCAGCACATGTTAAGTAGTCTTCTGGCTAGTGCATGTTTATAAAAGCAAAATCTGGCATCCATTTTAAGATGGCGTGTGCTGATGCAGCAGGTTTGGCTGCACATTAACGGTGTCAGCCTAAAAGGAACATTGGCAGAAAGTTCGAATTGACTTGAGCTTAGCCAAGATTGCTTCTTGGTTGTTTTACTTGACTGGGAAAGTAGGACAATGTTTGCTGTAAGGTTTTCTGCAGTCAAACTACATTTCCAACATTAATTTGTCTTATAACATTTTCCCCCATTGACACATTACAACTATGAAAACCTCATAATTTGACCGTGTGATTACAGTTGTCACCTGATGGTTAATACCACCACCGACTGAGCTAAAACCAGCGAAAGCTGAAAACATTGACAAATAAATAATTATTTATATCACCCTTATTTTGACGGCAGCTTATAAGCTTTGATGTGTATTTAAAATTATCTTTGCATAATTGCTTAATTTTTTAAATAGAGTTTTATATAATTTGTTTAGGAAATATACAGTGATGGGTTTCTTATATATGTAAGAACTATGCATAAAAATAATATGTATTGTTTTCAGCATTTTACTTATTTAACTTGAACAAAACATTTGCTGATTCTGCAGGCTGGTCCTGCTAGTTTCTTTTTGCTCTTGTTGTTATATAAAATATGAAATAAACATTTTGAATCATTTTGTGAGGTCTCTAAATCTTTCTCTTATTTATATTTTTTCTATAATAATAATAATAACATTAATATAGTAATAATATATTACTATGCATTGTTACCATATAGTAACATAATATTATTATTATTATTGTTGTTGTTATAATTATTATAATATAATGATGTAGTAATCATATTAGTATATTCTAATAATATAATTATATTATAATTATTAATATAATTATTGTCATAATATATATTATTTGTATTGCAATATATAATATAGTAATAATAGTTGTTATTAATGATAATATTATAACTATTATTATTATTATTAGCCTTTTAAAATTCTGTGAAGACAGTACATTAAAGTAGTTTAATGTACATATTTCTTTTTGGTACTTAATATCTACTTTATCATCTGAAAGATTTTGCTCAGAAAGCACAATATTCTGCTCTATCAGAATATTTGGTTCTGATAGAGCAGAACCATTTGAAACCCTAATTTAAAATGGTTGAAATTAGTGTTTTAACATGAACATCGAAACCTTTGAAAACACAAATCCGAAACAGAGGGAGAGGATATGTTTCGGTCATTTCGATGTCTGTGTGGTTTCGTCTTCCAAAAACACCAGAGGGCGCTGTTGTGCTGAGGTGAAATGCTGACACTTAATAGTAGATGGACACAATATTGAAACTGAATGAGTTCAAAATGCAAAAGCTTCAAACTGCAAATGGCATGAACTGTATATTTGAAATCGTTATAAAAAGTGAGATTTAAGAAAAATAAAATTTCTCTGGGCGCTCAAGAGTCATAGTAAAATCTTTAACAATTGTTAATTAGTAACCTAATTGTTAATTAATTACCTATTAATTAATGCAAGATCACTTGACCATTACCTGCTCTTATAGTGAGTCAAAGCCAGACTTTTTCTTTCCACTCCTCTCAGAGTTATCTCTGACCCAAAAGGAGAACGAAGCAGATAGGTGCTAACATTTATTTAGTGTTATGGAGAAGAGAACGAATAAGTGCACATGTTTTAGACAGGCCCTAATAAACATCCATTTAGAAAGATAATTGATAAAAGAATTAAAATCAGGTAGGAGAACAGTTTTTTATTTTCTGCAGTGCTTCTAGATTCCTGGAGAAGCTCAAGAATCAGGACTTCAATTCACATTTGCTAACATTTTTTTACAGTATGTGCGGGGAACTAATATCGGAATATGTAATCACACATAATTGTCTTTTTTATTTATTTCCAAAAATATTTCTATTCTATTCATAACTGTGGTACTGACTAAACAACTGACACACAATTGCCACTGCAATTGTGTATTTCACTGCATACTTCAGATGCAGTGAAATTAAGACTTATCTTGCCCATCACTGATAAACACAGATATAGTTTTTTTTTTTTTTTTTTTTTTTTTTAATCTCACTTGCTTGACTCTTTCAGGAATTATGATCACTTGCCTCATACCACCAAGAGAGTTCCTGAATTTAAACATGAATGAAGTTGCTGTCCTGCAGTCATTAAGCCCTTGTTGCTGCTTGTCTTTTCAGATCTCTGTCCACCCTCTGGGAGGCACAGCCACACTCACTCTGCTGGGATTTACACCCCTTCCCTTCTGTCTTCACCACTTGATTTTCCGTTTCATAATCTATGTTCCTTTTAACCACTTCGCTTTCCCTTCACCCTAAGGGAAGACATTATATGTATACACGGTGGTCTGCTTAATATGTATACACGGTGGTCTGCTATTTTTTTACGATTGTATATAATACAATCCCCTTATTTTATCTATTCTAATTTGACTATACTTAATCAATTAGTCAATCAATCAATCATGAGACAAAAGATCCTTTAAGGAGATTATAAAGCTAAGGCTAAATGACAGACTGCAAATTTAAAACAGTGATAAATTAATCAGTTGTAGGGGATAGGGCAGTGCAAGCACATCTAGATTAGTAGAGAAAACTTTAATATGTATATTTTTGATTACCAAGCTGAAATAAAACAGCTATCAGCTTGGATTGGATGAGAGACGGGAAAGAGACATTCTTATTTTGCTTTCAAAAACATCCAGCCTTTCAACAACGCGGTTTCACAGCTCAGAGCCATAAAGGGGAAAAATGCTTCCCTGCGTGTTAGTTCCCACTCTAAGTACCAGCAGAAGACCCTTACTGAAGGGCCTGATGGTTTCTGGGAAGGGGTGTGGGCTAGGACCACTAAGAGTTAAATTACAACATAAACACCTAAAAATATCCTCTAAAATTTGCAGGTAGCCAATGGAGACTTAAAAAATGCACTTTGTTTTTAGCGAATTTTTGATATTTAAGAAATTACAACACTATTGTCAAGTCTGTTTTTTTTTTCCAGTAACTCAGATAACTGAATAAAAGCCATAGCATAGATAAATTGCTAATGAAAACACAATATTTGACACGAGAATATTACAACAGACCAATAAAGACGTTATTAAAACAGAAGGGTGGGTTTTACATCTGTTTATAACAAGTGTATGTTTAGAGAAAAGGAACACATAAGTCACAACGCTATTCATTGTGCAGCATTCTGCAGACAAAGCAGATCAGCTCAGTAGAGCAGGTGTAGCGTCACATTTTGTCACACTGCCTATGACTCACACCTCTCCGTCTGAGACCCCATACCTGCGACTCTGTAAAAGGAACACTTCACAGAAAGCTACATCACTTCTGCAGCAATGAAACAAATCATTAGTGGGCTTCCAAGCATCGCAGCACATTTGTTGTGAGCAATCACATTCCAGCTGGTTGCTGCTGAAAGCATACTTGAAAACCTTCACAAGAGACCTAAAGAGACCAGTTTGCTTTCTATCAAACTGTGTTTAGACAAGCGCACATACACAGATTGCTAACAGTAGGACTTCTGGGACCAATCACAGCCTGCCTTACTCGTCCTCATCAGTTACTCGCTAGTTTATATTACTGCTTCTTTTACTCGGGCTAAATCCATATATGGTCTTGAGATGCGACGAGTGCAACACTTTACTCCTGTTTAAGGGCAATTCCTCCGAGAGGAGCTGAGATGGCAGATAAAAGACCAGTCTGTCCTGTTTGGATAGCAGATTCTCACCAGGACACACTGCATACATAAACACAGCAAGGGTCACTTGGCCCCAGGCCCTTTGGTCAGTATGGGGTGTCGGGGGTATAAATACAGCTCGTTTTGCTGTTGGGGTCTCCAGTTTCCCCAACACAGGATCAGATTTCAGAAACAGAGGAACCCCACCAACAACCATACACACTCACACACAGAAAGACCAAGCCAGTGTGCCAAAAGTAAGACATGAGGCATTATAACAAGGGGTTTCACAGTTTCCCGTTGGACTTGTCAGGTGGTTGTTGCAATACTTGAATATTGAGCTTTATCTTCGTTTTTAACGCAATAGGTTGGTAACGCGCTGGGGGCCATGTGGTGATCTTTGAGACTCCTTTCAGCTCCGGGCTGCAGCAGCTGAATCCTTGGTCTTTATTTAGACCTGGACATTGAGGCCTGGAGACACGAACTCCTGACCTACCTTTTAGTGAACAGGGCTCAAATGTCAGATCGAGATTTAAAGCTTCATGAAAATGATCGAAACTCCCCCGTTTCGGTTCACACATTAAGAGCACAGGCACTGATTTGGCTCCCCACTATGAGAGGCTGAGCTTTTGGAGGGGGCCAAACCTCATGGCTTGGAGATGTTTGACCTGCAACCAGATCTCCCCATATATCTCAGAATCACAAACTCTTCCCACCAAGACTCATCAACTTACCCCAACACTTTCCTTTTAGGGTGCACTGGCACGCATGACGTAATTTAGGAAGAGCTCTCGTTTGCAGAGTGTGTGTGTACAGCGGGGAGAGCGTCAGTGCGCACCCAGCAGCCTGGCAGCTGTATTCCTTGGCTCTGATTGGGGGAGGGCGGTGATTCCTTCTGTCACGATTTGGGTCGCTCCCACCGGAGGACACCGTCCGCTCGGGTCCAGCTTTCGCCGAGGTATCAGGAGGGGAGGCAGGATTCCTCTGAAAGGGCTGGGCTGTCAGCTCGGTGTCCTGCGTCCGAGGAGGAGAGGAGCAGCAGAGAGAGAGAGAGAAGCAGAGAGGGCGAGAGAGAGAGGGATAAAAGATCACCAGTGCTGAGCTACCAGCTGCCTTTTATTTTATTTTTTTCCTCCGTCGGAGCTGTGCTGAAAGTCGTTCACGATGCCGGTGTTTCACACCAAGACCATTGAGAGCATCCTGGAGCCGGTGGCCCAGCAGATCTCCCACCTGGTCATCATGCATGAGGAGGGGGAGGTGGATGGGAAAGCCATCCCGGATCTGTCGGTGCCGGTGGCCGCGGTGCAGGCGGCTGTGAGCAACCTTGTGCGGGTGAGTGAGTCCCGAGCCTCACGTTTCTGTCCCAAACTTCCAGCGGCTCTGGGAGCCGCCGAGATCGATGAGGGGGTGCAATGCAGCCGCCGGCTTCATGGTTCATTCTTTCAGTTCCACGAGTCATGAGGAGAAGAGACCATAAAACTGTCCTGGAGCTGCAGCTGATTATTTTCTGTGGCTTCCAGAAATGTGGCTTGGAAATCCCAACTTGCTCCTCTCTCACCATTAAAAAGACATAAAGCTGTCGTGCACCAGCTGAGGTTCATGCTTGCATGTGTGTTTGTTTGTGTGACAGGCTCCTGCTTTAGTTCTTGAGTTTCTGTGAGGGCGCAACATGAAATGTCAAACTTTGCACAGACTGGAAGGGAGACATGCCAACTTTTCAGTGGAGCTTGGAGTTGGAGGGGGTGCGGTCAGTATTAAAAAAAAATTAAAAAAATTAAAACAGTGGGATGTGCTGATGCCCAGTGGCGGTTCGGTCATGAATGGTCCCCTGGCCACCCTCCTTCTGCCCCCTGTCCTCTGTTCAGTATTGAACTGTAAAGTTCAGGATTGTACAGTCCGTTTTTACTGTTTTTTTTTATTTTATTTTTTTTTACGTCATTTGGATGATTAATACTGATTGAATATATATATATATATATATATATATATATATATATATATATATATATATATATATATATATATATATATATATATATATATATATATATATATATTATATATATATATATATAAGTATGGATTGCCATTATGATACCAGTAAGTAGCACTTGAGTTTGCATCCTCTACAACTGAGTCACAAAAACAAAGACCTGGCCTTAGACTCGCCCTCTGAAAACCTGTGGTATGAAACTTGTCATGATCAATCTTTATCTTCATGTAAGTGAGCCAGTAAGTGGAGATATTTTTAGTAATTATTAGTAATTACTTGTCCCCTCAGAGTTACTATTTTGCTGTGGTCACATTGTGCAGTGTTGTGTTTCCCATCTTGCTGTTTTGACAGCTTCTGCCTATTAAAAAAATGTTAAAGAAGTCTTTCAAGTTTGTCTGTGTTTTACGTCTGAGCTGAATTAACCGTGAGTAATCCAGTGACCACAGCCTTGACACAAATGTGTATTCTGGTGCTCAGTTGTGTTGAATGTTCTTATGTTAACTTGGGCTACATAGACTTGAGCCTTGACTTGGACTTGCAAAAAATGACATTTCATGGTATTCCAGTAGAGAGAGATTTGTCAACCCTGATGGCAGCTAAGCCGTAGGAGATTTGTGGGGTGGAAGAAATGAGGGTCGATTGAATTCAGAGGATGCTCCTCTGCACAGGAGACCAGTGACAGGAGAAATGTCACTTGGAGACATGTTTTGCTTTTTTTTTAGCTTCAACAAACTGAGTCAAACTACCAGAAGCTTTGAGGTTTCTTGAAGAAACTCAGCAATAAGGTTTCCCTCATCTTGTTGTCTTGTGTTTCATTTTTTTATTTTTTTTTTCGTCTTCACTTTCTCCTTTATTTCATCTGTGACACAACTGAGTTGGTTGTTTTGAGTAGGAGCCCAGTTTCAATCAGATATTGATGCTTTCTGTGTGTGCTCTGGCTGGAAGGAGAAAAAAAAATCAGTATAGGATACATCATTTATGCTAATCTAGGTCGTTATTGATGCGATCTTCACTCACTCGCTCGGTCACTCAGGAGAATTCAACAGCAGACAGAAGTAAACATGCTATCCCTTACATAAAAAAAAAAAAATACAGGATAAAATGCAGTCAATAGAAATGTTTTGATGTGACATTCGATTATTCAGACCCTGACTTTATGTATTTTTTGTTTGTCATTTGCAATTTAAAGAATTTGCTCTTCAAGTTTATTCTGAAACAGAAAATTGTTGCATCAACTCCATTTAGGATTGGAGTTGAAGTACTAATTTGATGAATGGGTAATTTGCAGTCTGCATTAGAGATAAGAAAGTCAATCCACTCTAATGCAATGCTATTCATCTTGATTGGGCCCTTGATGTCCGCTGGCCATCAGACACTTTCTCTTTCTCTCTCTGTTCTTGTGGGTCTGCTTCATTCAGACAGCGAGCAGAAGGAGGCTAAAAGCCGCCTCAGGCTTGTCGCTGGGTATCACATCATGGATATGAGAGTCCGGGAGGAGGGATCAGGGAGTTTCACAGGAAGCTATTGAACACAGAACAAGCTCTCAGGATGGAGATTTACAGTAAAAGCAGAATGATGAGAAAGCTATCACGATAGAGGCGAAGAAGGATCCACTTAAAGGTCTCAGCGGTGAGAATCGCTGATATATTTTTAGGAAAAGGAACAGAAAAGCTTTCAGACTACTTACTCTAGGCAGAGGAGAAAAAGATGCATTTGCTGACAGATTTGCAAGTCTAAAGAAGTGGGTGATAAGAGCGCACCAACGCTGCTTGAGAACGCAGCTTGTGAAATATCCACCGCTCTGTTGCTGGGTAGATCAAGTTAACTGGATGTAAAGAACACCCAAAACCTAAAAGTGAAGCTGTTTGGAGCACACAGGCTTTATTTTAGATGGATGACTCATTTCAGACCGAGTTAACACAGTACGCTATACAGGAAGAGGCCAACATCGCCACAAGGGTCCCAATGCACAATGATACGGTTACAGCTAACTCCATCCAGGGTGGGCTGAAGAAGGGAGGGGTGTTTGTATGCACTTAAGATCTTGGACCACGAAGACTCTTAAAATCGCTCAAGGCAGTGTCACTCTTGATCCGCCCTGAGCTTGAGCGTGGGCCGATGCAGATTCAGCTAAAGATGTAGGACATACTGCTGCTTCTGGTGCATCTGGTTGGAAGTGTAAAGCGTTCGTAACGTTCTGCTGATTGAAGAGCTGGCTCAGGGATAGAAGCGTCTGCTCCTGAAGGAGCCACAAGGACTCCTTCAGGAGTGCATCTTTGGGGGGGAGGAGAAAGGAGGAATAAATAGACTTAGCACCGAGTAAAAAAAGTGCACACTTCACTGAACAGAGAGGGAGAGGACATATGTGAGAAGTAGGCCTGTCAACTGAAATACAGTGATGATATGATGCATAACGAGCTGAAGATGATACAGTGGAAGAAATGCCAACATTTTTTTAATGAAAGGTGGCATTAAAATAAGTTAAGACCAAAATATATTATTAGGCTAATTCTAGATCTTCAGTATCCCTAAACCCAGCAATGTCAAGTTGGTGGATTGAAGCAGATGATTTAAAGACAAAATCAATGTTGCAGTAAGATATCATATTTCAAATTTATCATTTCAGAACAAGCTGACATTAAGTTTACTTTCAATAATTAAATTCCACTGTTCCAAGTGTACTATCACTACTTTGGAGCATTTAGAACATTATCTGGCAGAATGGGGTGAGATGCCTTGCTCAATGGGGGTATTGTAGTATGGTGCTGGAAGCATTTGGAATTAAACCCACAACTTTCGAGTTGTAGGACAAACTCTCCTTCTATTGAACAGAAGTTTGGATACTCTGTTTCAGGTTTAAAGTTATCAGTGACTTTAAGAGGAAGAGAATGCGCCACTCGGCCACTCCCTGAGTGACGGAGTGGCGGACAGGAACAATTCTTTATTTACTTCAAACATCTAAAATCTTGTGTCGGGATGAGTTTTGTTACAGTCACTCAACAGAAGCATTTTTGTGTAATTCAAGATCTGAAGAAACTGTTTTAAGTTGTGAGTCTTAGGTGAGACAAAGCGCAGTTTGATAGCTGTGATTAATAGCGGTCAGTTTTCTGCTGGAGCAATCACTTCTTTTAACCCTCCTGTTGTCTTCGGGTCATTTTGACCCGAAGACAACAGGAGTTATTCTTATTTTTTTCGTCAAGTTCACATTTGAATTGCTCCAGCAGAAAATTCTATCTGAGTTGTGAACACTGTAGGTCTGATTCAGGACTGTTAGATTTCAAGTTTCTGTATGCAGTTGCAATTAAAAAAATGTTTTATAAGGGCTTGTCCTCGGGTCATGTCACCCGGGCAACAGGAGGGGGGGGAAATTTGAAAGATATCAGTTTTACGGAGATCAGTGATGCCATTCCATACTGTTTGCCTGTCCAGCTGTGATTTCCTTAGTCTTCCGGTCAGTCTGACCTGAGGCCTGGGTTTGGTTATCTTTATTTCTTTTGTAAAGTTCACATTTGGATTGCTTGAGCCTAAACTTCCCCCTGAGTTGTGCACACCATAGTTCTGATGCAGGACTGTTAGATTAAAGTTTCTGTATGCAGCTGCAATTGAAAAACATATTTTTTAAGGGCTTGTCCTCGGTCGACATGAGCCGAGGACAACAGGAGGGTTAAAGATGTACAAACCTCATACAGCCCGCTTCAATGTCCTCTGCAAACCACTTTACTCTGCATTATTAATGCATTGCACAATCAATAGCAAGTGTTGCTGCTTACAGGAAACAGAGTTTCTGGACCCTTCCGGGTCGCAACACTTGTAGAACTGCATTCCTTAGGAGTATTTTTTTTTTAACAAAGAAAGTTTTCAAGACAGGTCAGTTTCATCAGGTCATTTTGGCATTTTCAGTTTCACCATTTTGTAAATATATAGTAGGGTTTTATAATAAAATGCACCATTACTTTATTCATTTTTATGTGTGTTTTGTTCACACAAAAGTATAAGATGAATTTAAAGTTCCTCCAAATTAATTTGCATCCTGCAAATTAAACTCTTGTTCAGTTCCTACATCATGTTATTTTTGTATTCAATCCATGGTTTCTGGAAAATTAGTTGTAAATAATTCAAATGCAGGCAGACATTCTGTGAAACTTCTTATGCTTCTCCCAATGCCTATTATGCAACTGAATATAACAATTTCTTACAAAATGTTACATGCAGTATTTGATTTAAAAGGCTCACTCTTTCCTCCAATTAGACGAAAAGGTTTTAAAATTTTCTTTATTGAAACAATTTATCCTCTGGGATTTTATGTGATAGTCGAACACAGATTAGAACATGATTAGCAAGCTAAGCAAGAGCAGCTAAGATCCTGTTAGTAACTCTGGAGGAGCTGCAGAGATCCACAGCTCAGGTGACACAGAAATCCATGTTTTCTTTTATTGCACCATTCACACACATGGCAATCCATAGCACTTTACAGGATGTCAGTAGAAAGACAAAAAGAAAACAATTATGTTTAAGAGCATTGCATAAAAGGAACAAATGTTAAAATACAGATATTGACGGCAATGCTTATATAAATAAAACATTTTAAAGCTGGCCACATTATGTGAGAGGCACATGAAAAATATGGAGAAAAAAATGCTCTGGCCAGATTAGAACAAAATTTAGCTTTCTGGCATACATGCAAAATGTTCTGTGTGGATGGAAACCTAACACTCCACGCTAAATATACCACCCCCAGGGAGAAACATGGTAATGGCAGCATCATTCTGTGGGAATATTTTTCTTTGACAGGGAGCTGCTCAGAGCGGATGGGAAGATAGATGGATCTAAATACAGAGCAATTCAGTAAGATAAACTGTTAGATGCTGCAAAGGACGTAACTCTTCAGTGGCAGGACATCTAGAGCTATTATGCAGTAATTTGGTTGGCTCTGCCAAGGTCAACGCATAATCTAATTGAGAATCTCTGGCTGTCTCTCAGGTATTCTCTCTATCTCATCTGACTGAACTGTTGCAAAGAGGAATTGGGTAACATTTTAGTAAATATGCAAAGCTGCTGGAGACAAAGGCTAGCAGCTCTAATAGCAGCTAAAGGTTGGAGTACAGAGTATTGACTTCAGGTTGAACAAAAATACATGCAAGCTATTCAGATCTTAATTTGTAAAAAAAAAAAAAAAAAAAAAAAAAAAATCAAAGCAAGTATCATTTTCCTTCCACTTTACAATTATGCATTTCTACTTTTGGCATATCGCATAAAATACCAGTTAAACCAATTAGTGGCTGTAATGTGGGAAAATATGAGAAAGGTTCAACAGTATGAATATTGTTCAATTGGTACTGTGAGAACATTATGGAGCTTTATTCTGTTTGCAAAACCAACTAACACTGAACATGATTTCTTGTTAGATTGCTAAGACTAACCAATAAACCATAACTCTGAGTATAATTTTTGTGGTCAAAATAAGAAAACGCTCCAGCTCATTCAGACACCACAGCCCATTTGCCGTTTCCTGAATCTCTGGAGCCAAAAAGTCTATTAACAAAATTTCACTGAAGCAGCAGGAAGAAACTGATGTCATCATTTTGCTGTAATTGCATCTCAAACGTGTGAATGCTCAGGCATATATGTGTGTGTGTGCACACGCGCGTGTGAGTGTGTATGAGAGAGAGAGTTTATTTTATGTTTTGAAAGCTTTCAACCAGGAATCTGTTGGGATTCAGAATCTATGTGGAGACTGAAATACCAGACCACATGCATTTATCTGACTGTTTGAGGGCTGTAAGTTAATTTAAAATAATTAAAGCTGTGATTATAAAGTTTAGTACAAAAAGGTGTGCTCGCCTATATGAGGCTGAAAACGGTTGTGTGTGAAGGATGTAGTTTAGTAGCACTGAGAGTCTTCAGAAAAATCATGCAGCAAGTTACTCTCTTCGGCTGTAGTAATGTTACAAGTTTTAACATTAAATTAAACTAAATTCTTCATATGTTTTTCATCTGATTTAATATTAAACACAGTTTTCCTTGCAGAGTAACAGACAGGAGAAATGAACTGGACCCCAAGCTGTTTTTCCCAGCTCATGAGAAATGACATGCATGCATGGTTGGAATAGGCGTGAATTGATACACACTCATTCACCCTTTCAGTCTATTAATAGTGCCCTTTAAAAAACATTTCCTGTCTTGCTGCAGCTAATGATAATAGAATAAATATGTGTGTGTTTCAGGTGGGGAAGGAAACCGTTCAAACCACAGAGGACCAGGTGATGAAGAGAGACATGCCTCCTGCTTTTATTAAGTAAGCCTATCGCTGAACCATAGCGCATGTTCTGGAAAAATAAATGACTGCCACTGTATCTCTGTCTGACAGGGTCAAAATGCTGGAAATAATGGACTTTATCTCAGCACACAGAGAACTTGTTGAAAAGAGGATTCCAGGCGTTTTAATGTCAGGAAACCTGGCTCCGTTCCCAGCTACAACAAAAAGCTACTTCTGAGGCTGAGCCCGGGTGCTTGTCCGGCTCCAGCATCCAGACCGCTGAGAGGCTGTTAGCTGTTTTCCAGCTCGCATCCAAAGAGCTGCCAGAAAAGCTTAGGGTGCTCACAGAGAGCATTTATGCAAATGTTAATGCCCCAGCTCTGTGGTTCTCAAACTGTGGTGCAAGTGCCTTTCATGGTACTTTACATGGTAAAGTAATCAATAGCCAGAAGAATGAGTTGTTCAAGGACACTGAAATTTGCATCAAACAAAAACTACTACTTCTTCCTTTTCTTTTCTTCCCTTAATTTTCTTCTTCATAAAACTTTGTTGCTTTGGATTCATTTCATATGCAGTGGACTTTGACAGCATTACAGCTGTAATGCTTCACTTATGATATGATAAGTATGATCTGGAGTGAACAACAGTATGTGTGGCCACTTTTGCCTCTAAAGTCTGGACATGGATTTGTGAAGGACACCAAAATTAAGTTAAACATA